GCCGCCGCCGCGCTCATGCTCGCCGGGCCCCGCGCTCGCCGCCGCCGCCGCTGCCCACTTCACTCTTTGGCGCTCGCTCCGCGCCGCGCCCTCTGCTGCCCCCTCGCCCGGGCTCGCCGAGCTCCCGCCGCCCTACCCGCCGCGTCCTGCGCTCTCCTCTCTCTCCCTTCCTCTCTCCTCCCTTCCTCTCTCTCTCTCTCCCTCTCTCTCTCCCTCTCTCTGCGTCCTCCTCTCATTTTTTTTCTTTCGCGGTCTCTTTTCTCCCCCTCTGGCTCTTTCTTTCTCCCCTCCTGCTGTTTGCGGTGGCTTCTCACTTTCTCTCTTTTTACTTCCTTTCCGTCGTTCTTTCACGCCTTCCTCCTCCTTTTCCTTCCTTCTACTTTTCCCTTTCCTCTTCCCGCTTTCCTGCCCGGTTTCCTTCCTCCCTCCCTACCTCCCTTCCTCCTTCCTTCCTTCCTCTCCGTTCTTCCTCTCCTCTTTGTTCCTTCCTCCTCCTTCCCTCCTTCCTTCCGACTCCCTTTTCCTCTCCTCTTCCCACCCCAGTTTCCTACTCTTCAGTCCTCCCATCTCCTTCTAACACACACCTGCTTTGTCTGGGGGCCACGTTATTCCCGCCAGCCACACCCTGGCCAAGGGGATCAGGGTCACGGTCAGCTTGGGCCAAGAACCCTTCGCCTGAGACAGGCTCCTCTGCCAGGGTTTCCTGTGGGAAAGGCCCCACTTCCCGGCCCTCCTGGGCCACTGCATGGGGTCCCCTCCTCGGCTCCTGCTCCCCGCTCCACCCAGCAGCCCCCCAGCTCCAGTCTGCCCCCCATTTCACCCCTCACCTGTGGGACAAGGCTGTACTTGCCCTTCTGTGGCCTCAAAGCCAGTGAGCCCCCGTTTCCCCACCTTCCTCTGTCCCTGGCCGGAAACCTGCGGTTGTAAAGAGGTCTTGTGGGGAGAAGGTTGCAGCCTCGTCAAGGGCCCCAAGAGAGAATGGAGACGAAGATCTTTTATCAATTCTTGATTTTAGGAGGCAGAAGGGAGCCTCTGGAGGACTGGCCCCAAGATTCTCCCACCTGGGTCTCCTGAGATGGTGGCCCTCATTTCACTTTTCTAAACATTGATGGAACCGCACCAGAAACTGGGCTGAGCCCTTTATACTTGGTGTCTTCTTTATGCTTTATTTGTTCCTCGCCACAGTGCTGAGCAGCGTCCTCCCCACTTCACAGCAGAGGCACTGGGACTCAGAGAGGTTAGGACACCTGCTCTGAGCCACACAGTCAGCTCGGGGCAGAATCGGGGCTCAAGCCCAGGTCTGCCTGACCCTGCAGGCCCAGTCCCTCAGCCTTGGCCCCTCACAGGTACCTGGGTGAACATCAAGAGAAGGCACCGAAGGCAAGCACTGCACCCTCTCCTCACTGAGGAGGAACCAGAGACAGCGGCAGGTGCCTGGCAACAGCTTGTACATGACCCGTTGATGGGGCTGGGAGTCCCGATGGCATTTCTGATGCCACATCCTGGGCCCCTTTCAAGGATAAGAGGGAGGCTCAGCCTCGTGCCCGAGGCACCCAGCAGGACAGTGGGAATGGTGCCGGGGCGCCCACGCTAGGAAGCCTGCACTGTTGGAGTGCCTCGATTTCCCCACCTGTCTCACAGGTGTCCATGCCTTCCTTTCCTCAGTGGACCTGGCTTGAGCGGCTGCCCAGGCAGGACACTGAATCTCCCCCAAGGGAGCTGATGTGGGCCCTGCTCATGGGAGGGGCAGGGGGCCTCCATGAATGCCCCAGCAGGGCGAGGTCAGGGCCACAGCGAGGGCTCAGGGAGGCAGCACCTGCTTGGCCACAGGGGCAGGCACTGTTGCCCAGTGGGAAGGCTCATGGGATTTGTAGCAAGGCGGCACTTTGTCCCTAATTGGCCAGGTGGCCTTAGGCATAGCACAGAAGCTCCCTGAACACCAGTTCTCTTTCCTGAAGAGGTCCCAGCACTACCTCCCGCACAGGGTGTCTCAAGGACTAAATGAGACTAGGCCCATGAGGTACTTACTTCTCCTGGCACCTGGCAAATATCCCAAGAGGGGGACAGAGGAAACTGAGGCCCAGAGAGGCCATGGAACAGGTGGAAGTGCCGGGTGCTGGTGGTGGTGGGGCTGGGAGGTGCCTACCAGACTGTCCCATCTGATTTTGGCTGTCACGCTGGAGAGGTGCCTGTCATCTGTGCCCTAGCAGGGACTGTCTTAGGCTCTCAATGCCAGGGACACTCAGCTTTGAGGGATGCGGGCTGAGTGAGGGGAGGAGGTGTCGGGGCGTCACAGCAGGCTGCCTGTGTTACTGGGATGGGGTGTGTTGTGCGTGTGGTGTCTGTGTGTGTGGTATGTAGTGTGTGTATGTGTGTGTTGTGTTGTGTTTGTTGTGTGAGTGGTGTGTGTGTTGTATGTGTGATTTGTACGTGGTGTTTGGTGTGTGCATGTACTATGTGTGCTCTGTGAATGCATATTAAATGAGTGGGGTGTGTGTATGGTATATGTGTGAGTATGTATGTGTGTATGAGAGAATCCGAGTGGTGTTTTGTGTGTGTGCTGTGTGTATATAAGTGAGTGGTGTGTGTTTTGTGTGTATGTGTGTGCATATGAGTGTGTGAGTGGTGTATGTGTCTTGCGTGTGTTGTGTGTCTGTGTGGTACTGTATATGAGGTGTGTGATGTGTGTTTATAGTGTGTGGTGTGTGTGGTATGTGTGAGATGTGTATGTCTATGAGTATACATAGGACTGTTGAGAGTGTGTGCTGTGTGTGTGTTCTATGTGTGTGTATGTGTGTATGAGTGTTGTGTTATATGTGTTGTGTGTCATGTGGTATGTGAGTATAAATTGTGTGTGTTGTATGTGTGCATTGTGTGTATGTGGTATGGTTAGTCTGTGGTCTGTGGTGTGTGTGTGGTGTGTTTGTGAATGTGTGTGTATGTGTATGAGAGTGTGAGTGGGGTGTGTTGTGTGTATGTGTGAAGATATGTGAGTATGATATATATATGTGAGTGATGTGTGTCAATGTGTGTGTCTCAGGGTGTGTGTGGTGTGTATGTGAGTGTGAGTGGTGTGTGTGTGTGGTGTCTGTGTATGTGAGGGTGTGAGTGGTATTTGTGGTGGTTCGTGGTGTGTGTGGGGTGTGTGTGAAGGTGCGAGTGAATGGTGTGTGGTGGTGTGTGTAGGGTGTGTGAGGGTGTGTGTGCTGTGTGTGGGGTCTGTGGTGTGTCTGTGAGGGTGTAAGCAGTGTGGGGATGTGGTGTGTGTGTATATGAGTTGGTGTGTGAGGGTGTAAGCAGTGTGGGGGTGTGGTGTGTGTATATGAGTTGGTGTGTGTGAGGGTGTGAGTGCTGTGTGTGGGGTCTGTGGTATGTCTGTGAGGATGTAAGCAGTGTGGGGATGTGGCATGTGTGTAGGTGTGTATATGAGTGGGTGTGTGAGAGTGTGAGTGGTGTGGGGGGTGCAAGTGTATGTGTGTGTGAGGTGTGAGTAGTGTGTGGTGTATGGGTTGTGTGGTGTCTATGTATGTGTAAGGATGTGAGTGGTGTGTGTGATTGTGTGTGTGAGTGGTGTGTGTGTGTGTGTGATGTGAGTGGTAAGGGTGTGTGTGAGTGGTGTGTGTGTGTGTGTGATGTGAGTGGTAAGGGTGTGTGTGAGATGTGAGTGGTGAGGGGGTGTGTGTAAGGGTGTGAGTGAATGGTGTGTGTGTGTGTGTGTGAGTGGATGGTGTGAATGGTGTGTGTGCTGGGGTGTGCGATGGCTGTTGGCATGCGGGGGTGGTGGAATGAGGCATCTCCCTTTTTTGGGTGCACATGTCTGGAATCTCCATATGGTGAGTGTGTTCGTGCATGTTTTCCACGTGTATGTGTGGTGGTGGTGTGTGTGTGCGTGTGTGATGTTTGTGTATATGTGTATTTGTGGTGTGTGTGTATGTATGGTAAGTGTGGTGTCTGTGTATCTGTGTGTATGTGTGGTATGTTTGGTGTATGTTTCTGTGTGTATGCATGGTGTGTGTGTGTGGTGTTTGTGTATGGTGTGTGTGTGTATGGTCTGTGTGTCTATGTGTGTGGCGTGTGTGTGTATGTGTGGTGTATGTCTGTCTGTGTGGTGTGTAATGTTTCTGTGTATATGTGTGGTGTGTGTGTAGTGTTTGTGTGTGGTGTATGTGTGCTGTGTGTGTCTGTGTATGTATGTGTGTGGTGTGTTCAGGGCATGTGGAAAGCGTCACCATTTAGTGGAGCCCCTCCCCCTCATTGTCCCTCCCTACCGCCCTTCACCTGCCAGTGGGCGGGGCTCTGTGCCTGTCCCAGGTCAGTGCTGGACACCCAGTGACCAGAAAAGGTCCCTGACCTAAAGCTTAAAGTCGGGTTGGTGACAGCACAAATGTTAAGGCTCCATCACTCCATCTCCTACAGGATGAAACTCCATCCCCTCTTCCTGTGCCTGTGGCCCAGTGCACCTGCCCAGCCTCCTCTGCAGTCAGGTGCCGGAGCTCCAGCCATGTCAAACCTGCAAGCCACAGTGGCTGTCCTGGGTGGTCACTCCATGGCCTCCTCAAAACCCCATGACAGGCCCACTATGTGCTGGGCTGGGCTGCCCTCCGCAGTGCTTCCAGAGCCCTGCACCTTCACCTTCTCTCTCTAGCACAGGCTCCCCTACCTTGGACAAAACTACTTTGCCTCCCTGAGCCTCAGTTTCCTCATCTGCATAATGGGAATGACCTCAAAGGGTCAATGTGAGGATTAGACGAGAGAC